TGGGGAGGTGCTGCGATTTCATCGCTTGTCCCGGTGCTTGAGTCCCCCCTACCGCAGGGACCCTCCTGTCACCCTTCTCTCCACGCCCCCCTGCCCCTGGCGCCCAGCAGTGTGTCCTCCATGCCATCGCGTCCGCGGCGCCACACCGTGTGTGACATGAAGTGCGTTCTCCCACGTGGCAGAGTCCCCCGGGCCCCATCCGGCTGTCCACATGTCCACGAGGGATCCTTTTCCGTGCTGAGTAGCGCTCTGCAGTACGGCTGGGCCACTGTTGTGGCCATCTGCCTGAAGGACATCTGGGCCAATGCCACTTCTCAGGGGCTCCGGGAACGCTGCTCTGAAAGTCACGCATGAGTGCTGGAGTGGACGTTGGTGTTCACTGCAGCGAGCGGCTTGGGAGCTCGTGGGTCCAGGGCAGCTGCCCCGGCGTGGCTGGGGGCAAGGTGGGGTGCTTTCGGTGGCCTGTGTGCATAGAGCAAGGCTCGGTCTTGGGAGTGTCACACACTTGGGCTTGAGGTGGGGCCTTGCTTTTTTCCCTGCTTTTGAGCCAGAAGGGCACGTGTGACCAGATCTCTTTGAGGGGGGGTGTGACTGAGGTTGGGCAGGTTGAGTCGGAGGCTGGAGACTGAGGGCCAAGGCCCCGCGCAGGTTGGCAGGAGAGCCCTATGGGAGGCGGGGCATCGGCCAGGGCACAGGGGCCGGGTCAGTGGCTGGTTGCAGAGGGGCCCAGCCATGAGGTCCAGGCAGGCCTTGCCCCCAAGACACTTCTGGGCAGGTGGACATTGGGTCAGGTGCGTGGCGGTTCCCGGGGCCAAGGATCCTGTCAGAGGCCCGAGTCCCAGCTCCCAGGGGACAGATGTGGCCGTGGCTCAGTTGGCCCAGGAAACAGGGCATCTGGAAAACTAACCCGGGTTGCTCTGGCCAGCTCAGCCTTGCACTGAGCCTTGTCCCCGTCCCTCCCTCTCGGACGCTGCAGTGGCCCGGCGCCTCATGGGCAGTGGGCCTGGCCCGTGCCAGGGCGGAGGGCCATCCTGGCGCCTGCCCGCTGCACCGCCGCACCTGGCCTCGCGGGCTCCCTGCTCACCGGACGGCAGCCCGGGGCTTACACGACACGAGACACGCGCCTCTTTCCTCCGAAGGCGTCAGCTCCCTGCACCCGCCCCCTCCACACCCTCCCTCTCTGTCCTTCCTGGCGAGGTGGTGGCTGCCCCGGGCAGGGTCACTGATCGCCCCGTTTCCCAGTGTGCCCGGTGTTTCCTCTGGCTTCCTTCTTTCCCTCGGCTTTATTGACGTTTGATTGACATTAACATCGCGTAAGCGTACGGGGTACGACCTGATGATTCAGTACATGAATGTGCCATGAAATGATTGCCTCATCAGGTCACTTAGCACGTCCAGCACCTCACACCATCGTGCCTTGTTTCTGTGTGTTTTGGTTTTTCTGGAGGTTGACCACGGCCGTGGTCTTTGCTGTGGCTACTGTGCCGCGGGGGGGGGGGGGCATTAGCAGACTCGCCAGCAGGGCTTGGTAGGGACCCGTGTGACCTCGGCCACGCCCCTTGTCCAGGACCCCCTGACATCTCCAGGGGCTGATCCCGCAATTCAGGCTTCAGTTTTAGGGCAGTGCCCTGGACACCCCCTGTTCTCCCTTGGCCTGGCTTCTTGCTAAATGTGAGGCTGCTCTCTGGCCCGGCATCGAGGACCCCTTCACAGACATGCCCCCCCACACCTCCCGCCCCCTCCTGGGGCTCACAGCAGGGTGTCATGCTGGTTGACAAAGTTGCCCTTGTGTGCGTGTGTGTGTGTGTGTGCGTGCGCACGCGTGTGTTCGCATGTGTGAGTGCATGCACGTGTGTGAGTGACCCCCTCAGCATGTCTGCACTGTCTCTGGAGCTCTCCAGTGGGGGCTGGTTCTCTCTTTTGCCTTCATTTTTAATTTTATTTTTTAAGATTTATTTGAGAGTGCACACACGCTCACACACATGAGGGGGAGGGGCAGACGGAGGGAGAGACAGAGAATCCCAAGCTGACTCCACGCTGAGCACAGAGTCCGATGCAGGGCTCGATCCCTCGACCTGGAGATCACGACCTGAGCCGAAACCAAGAGTCAAGCTTAACCGACTGCACCCCCCAGGTGCACCTCGAGTTCCTTTGTACAAAGCGGGTGTGAGGCAGGGCCCTTTCTCCCCTGGCGTGACAGACTCTCCTCCCTGGGTCGCCCCCACACCCTGGGTGAGAGCGTGGCCTGCCTTTCCCATGGCGGGCACCGCATCGGGGTGGCGTCGGGGGGCTTCAGCATGGGGCCTGCCCCGTCTCCCCCTTGGGCTGACCTGTAGGGCTGCATCTCAGGGTTTGGCTTTCGTGTGTGTGCTGTTCAGCTGTTGCCTGGGAGGAACCCTTCCAAACGGACCAGCAGGGCACTTTCCTTCCTGTAACAGCGTTCTGTCAGAACGAGGGTTCTCACTCCGGGCCGTTCTGCCTCCCAGAGGACCAGGGATGGTGTCTGGGGATGTCACACTGGGGGTGCTCCTGGCATCCTGGGGTGGGGCTGGGGATGCGGCTCACCCCCCACCGTGCCCGCGACGTCCCCCCTCCCCCAAAGAATAACTGTGCCTGGTGTCCGCAGAGCCGGGGGGGACAGACCCGGGTCGAGAGGAACCCACATTAGAAATCGCATTCCTGGCGTGCGCGCCCCCTCCCTGCAGCTTGTGCTAAGGGAGCAGTGCGGATCCCTCTGGGGTTACGTGGGGTCATGGGCACACCCCTTCCACTCCCTCCTGCCCCTGGAACTCTCGGGGGGGTGTCGGTCGGAGTGAGCAGGTGGCCTCGTGTCGCTTTTATAGCAGAGGTGAGTTGTTTGAAGTAGGACGGACGGGGGACGGCATGAAGGTAATTACCTTCCTTGATGAAGGGCCCAGAGTCACTTTATTTATTCTGGGAAGGATCCGAGGTAGTTGGTAAAAGTACCAGAACGGCACGGGCATTGCAGCCCAAACCCCTGCTTTGTGATGTCGGGGTTTGTGACTCGGGTGTCCCCGAGTGTAGTCAGTTACTCGGATGCGGGCCGAGGGCCCCCAGGCTGCAGGACAGGGTGGACACGTGGGGCCCACAGAACCAGTCTGTCGCGGAGGCCCCGGCCCGTGGAGGAGGCCGGCAGCAGACGCTGGCAGAGAGGCTTCCCCCCCCGAGCTGGGGGGGAAGGTTCCGGGGGCAGGGAGGGCTGCCTGCCCGTGGGGCGCGTCCCAGGTGTGTGAGCCAGTGGCTTCCGCACGGGGAGCCCCGCTCAGGGCAGTGCGTGGACGTGGGCAGATGCGGGCCGACTCCGAGGCAGAGGGGTCGAAGTAGGCCTAGAGCAGCAGGTGGGGCGAGTCTGGGGGGTTCTGAGCCCCCAGGAGGAGGCTCTGGGGCTTCAGCCTGTGAGTTAGGGGTATTGGCAGCCGTTGGAGGCGACGTGCTCTCAGACGGCGCAAGTTCTCTCTTGCTGTGTAATCACATCACCCGAGCTTAGCCTCACCCAGCAGACGCTCAGTCTCCGAGGGCCAGGAGGCCAGGCGGTCCGGGCTGCGGGTCCCTCATGAGGCTGCAGAGCGCGTGTCAGCCGGCGGGCGGCTCGGCGCCTCTCCCCAGCGCTGGTCTAGCATCCTCGCAGCCTGGTGGCCGCCCCCCTACCCCCTCCGCCAGTGGGGCCAGATGGTGTGGAGCAGGCTGCCGTACCTCTTGTGACCTAGTCTCGGAAGTGACCCCCACCGTCTGTCCTGCTCTGCTGGTGGTCGCTGAGTCGGCCTGCGCTCACTGCAGGGGGGTCCGTCTGCACACATTGACGGGGGCGCGGCCGAGGTTTGTGGGTATAAAGAACCCACTGTTGCTGTGCCTGAGTGTGGGGTGAGCCAGCTGAGGAGACAGGCTTGCCGCTTGGCCCCTGGACCGGGGTGGGGAGAGGCCGACGCAGGAGGGGACCCTGGGCTGCATGGGGCTGGAGCGGGGCTGGCGTGAGGGCTCAGCGGCCAGGGGGCCCCTTTCCAGATGGCCTTCCTGCTGACTTGCCGATCCTTCTGGTCCCTCGAGGCTGAGGGGTCAGCGTGCTGCCTGGTGAGCCCCGCATCCCCTCACGCCTGCAGAGGAGAAGGGAGACAGGACGGTGTGATGTGTGCGCCAGGGCAGTGGGCTGGGGTGAAGAGAGCAGGCGCCCGGGCTAGCGGGGAGCTGGTGGGGGGCCCTCTGCGTGGGTGTGGGCTACGAGGCCTGGACTCGTTCAGGTGCTGTGGGCAGTCTGGGTGAGCTCGGAGTGCTCAGCAGGCGGCGTGATGCTGGGTGGGCTTCTGAGTTCACCGCTAGCTGGGAAGGAGCTTTTGAGGACCATTGTGGGGAGAGATTCTGTCCTGAGGCTTCCCTGGCTTCCGTGCAGATACTAAACTTTTGCCCCCAAGTAAGGTTGACTCTGGTGGGGCTCCTGGAAGAGGAACGTGGTTGGGGGTCCACAGAGACGTTGTCCAATTGGACTTGCTGTCCACAGTGGGCGTGGGCAGGTCCTAAGGGGCTGGCGTCGTGTGTGGGGCATGCCGAGTATGGCCCAGAGGGGCAGTAGCTGGTCAGCCTGACTGGTCAAGGAGGCAGCGATGCCTGGCGGAGACACACGGCTCTGTGCCTCACTGCAGCCTCTGAGGTACTGAGTGTGTGCTGAGGCCAGTCACCTGCTGTCTGACTAGGCAGGACTCTTGGGGTACCAGCCTGCTTGGTACCTTGGTGCCAGATGCCCCCCCCCCCCCCAGCACCGAGCTTCACCTTCCCATTGTGTAGAAGGGTAGTATGCTTGGGAGCATGACCAAGCTAAAATGGGGGACGCCCCTCGCAGAGTGGCTGCCTGCTGGCCAAGCCTGTCCCACAGCCCCTCAGAGGGCTGAGTTCTTGAGCTCTGACCCCCCAGCGACCCTTCTCCGCAGGGTGGGGCTGCAGGCCTTGGCTCCGGACTTGTTCTCACGCGCCCTGCTTTTGCAGGCACGGGCGAGAGCGGAAAGAGCACGTTCATCAAGCAGATGCGGATCATCCACGGGGCAGGCTACTCGGAGGAGGACAAGCGGGGCTTCACCAAGCTCGTGTACCAGAACATCTTCACTGCCATGCAGGCCATGATCCGCGCCATGGAGACCCTAAAGATCCTGTACAAGTATGAGCAGAACAAGGTGAGGCCTGTGGTGCCGTCGGATAGGGGCCGCCCGGGGCACAGCATGGTGCCTGGCTTCCCTCCCTGCCAGGACCTGCCTTCTCCGAGTGCCTGCAGCAGGCACGTCCTGGCCAAGCCTCAGCCCTCCTGTCGGGTAGCCCTCAGCGCCCCCATCCGACAGCAGGGAAGCCGGCCCAGGGGTGGGTAGTGTGAGCTCCAGCTCCTGGCCCCTCACACACTGTGTCTGCCGGTGTGGCTGATCCCGGGGAGTGGGGCACTTCCCTTCCTTTTTCTTGAGTAATGGCTTATTGAGACCAAAGTCACTCACTGGGCAGGTCTCCCCTTACAGTGTGTAATTCACAGCTTTCTAACACACACAGCTGAGCAACCACCACCACTGCCTAGTTTGGGAACATTTCATCACTTGAAAAACAATCCCGTCCCCATCAGCGGTCACTCTCCCCTCCCCCAGCCCCCAGCCCCCGGCCCCCGCGAGCCCCCTTCCCGTCCGCGGATGAGCCTGTTCTGGACGTGTCACCCACGTGGACGCACACCCCGTGTGGCCTTCGGTGTCTGGTTCCCTCCCTGAGCGTCGTGGGCTCGGGGTCCGTCCCCTGCTGTCTGACTAGGCAGGACTCCGTCCTCGTTCCTGCTCATGGCCATTGTCACATGTTTGTTCACCACCTGGTGGCCAAGTGACGCTCCCGTGTGTGGGGGGACACGCAGTGTGTATCCGCTCACCCGCTGATGGACGCTTGGGTTTTTCCAGTTTGTCTCCTTGACTCCTGTTGGGGTGACTTGCACATGCAGGTTTCTGTGTGCACACCTGTTGTCACTTCCCCGGGCCATGTTTCCGGGACACAGGGGTTCACACGGCAGCTCGAGGTTTGCCCTTGGTAGGAGCTGCCGGCCCCTCTCACCGCAGCATTACCCCAGTCATGCACCAGTGGGCTTTCACTGGTGGCCTCCCTTGGCTTTGCTTTTGTAGATCTGTTTTTGGGGGTTTCTCATTCAACCCCGGAAGTTTGCCCTGGGCTGACATGAGGCACGGGAGTCCATATTTATGCAGTAGTGGTTTAAATGAATCCCTTGCTTTGAGGCTTAAGAAGGTCAGTCAACCAGATTGCTAATACATCTCCAATTGGCACCTTCCTCCCTGTATCCCGGTTCATAGATGATCGGGGACCCCCAGCAGGGCCCGGTGTGGGGTTGGGGGGCCTGCCGGAGCCTCTTGCCCTCTGGGTCTGGGTTGTATGATCTGCTCAGCTGAGACCCTCTCCAGCATCCAGACCATACAGTCCAGCTGGTCTGGTGTTTGGACCATAGATGTCCATCTGCATCTAGACCAGCGGTGGCCTACCTCTGTTGTGTTTTTGTAAATACAGTTTTATCGGTTCACATGATGCCTCCTTGTTTATGTATCGTCCTTGATGGCTTTTGCTGCAGTGGCAGAGATGGGGGCCACAAAGCTGAAAACACTGTTCTCTGGGCTTTTATAGAAGTGGATCCCTGATCCCTGATCATCACACATTGACCGGGGGGGTTTTCCGGGGCTGGTGTTTGCTTCCATAGGTCCAGACTACGGGGCAGGTGAGGGCTGGGGGCCACGGTTGGGGGGGTGGGCAGTATGGGGCAGCTCTCCAGCCCGGGAGGAGCCCACTGGCTTTCAGAGCATGGGCTAGGGTTCCCTCCTTCCCCATTTTGGCTTCTGCCCAGGTGTGTCCTTCCCAGACCCACCCTCTGCTGGTGGCCGGTTGTGTGGCTGGACCACCCTGAGGACGACAGGCACGTGGAGAAGTGGGGTCTCCTGAGTCATGTGCCCCGAGTGGTTCCTCTGGCCAGCGCCCCGCCCCCAGTCCACTCTCCCCTCAGAGATTGCTGGGGTTTGAGGAGCTGTGTGCCAGGAACGGGATGCAGGCCAAACAGACTTCTGAGGTGACTCCCGTTGCCTCATCTGTGAAACGGGGACAGGGGAGCTGCTGATGGTGGTGTGTGTTCATTGCTCTGTTCGTTCTCTTTTGGGCCCGGCCCTCGGTCACTTTTTAAAGAGTCTGCTTGTTTGTGCACGTGGTTGCTTCCAGTCCTGCCTGCTGCTCCCCAGAGCCGCACCCCAGCGCCGGGGCGCACCGCAGCCATGCAGGCCCAGCCCCAGGAGCTGCCTTGCTCTCGGGCTCTGCCTTGGGGACCTCCCACTGAGGGACGGCCACCGCGGCTTTGCTCTCGCTCCTTCCTGACGTGTGCGCGTGCTTCGCTGGGGCAGTGGTCCCCCCTCGGTCAGGTGCCCTGCGGGGGCCCGGGCGCTGGTGAGCCCATGGCTGTCCCTGCCCGCCCCACAGGCCAACGCGCTCCTGATCCGCGAGGTAGATGTGGAGAAGGTGACGACATTTGAACACCGTTACGTGCACGCCATCAAGACCCTGTGGGATGACCCTGGCATCCAGGAGTGCTATGACCGCAGGCGGGAATACCAGCTCTCAGACTCCGCCAAGTAGTGAGTAGGGCGCCGGCCCCGCGGACCCGGCCAGGCCGCAGGGGGGTGCCGTCGGGCATGCGGGCGGGCGCGGGCTCGCCGCTCGTGACAGGTGGGCCGGGCTGGTGTGAGATGGTCACTGCAGGCGGCCTGGCCGGGTCGGAGCATCTTGTGGCCCCGCTTCTGTGAGTCTGCACCTGTGCAGAAGCGGGAAGGTTCATCTTGAGCAGTCAGCTTCCAGCCTGGCCGCCCAGCCAGCCCCCTTTCTCCCGCCGCAGCGGGCGTCCTCGGACAGCCCTGTGAGAGAAACCCCCAGAGCCGGCCTGACTTCTGCCTGTCCCGTGAGAGCCAGGGCAGGGGCAGGGAGGCCTCTGCCCGACCCCAGGTCTGCCTTGTCCCAAGCACTCGGGGCTGTTCCGCCCCTGCTGGTGAGGCACAGTGCCGGGCCCCTTCCGGCTGCTTAGGGGGACCCTGGTGGCTGAGCTGTCCCCGCCCTTGCCTGTTGGCCTGAGCGGCCCTGTCCCTGCTGTATTGCAGCTACCTGGCCGACGTGGACCGCATCGCCACCTCAGGCTACCTGCCCACCCAGCAGGACGTGCTGCGGGTCCGTGTGCCCACCACTGGCATCATCGAGTACCCTTTCGACCTGGAGAACATCATCTTCAGGTACCTGTGCCCTGGGGGCAGCCATGTGCTGGGGCTCCATTGGGCTCTGTGAGCTGCAGTGGGGGCTGTTCGCATCCCAGCCCCCAGGCACCTGCTGCGGGGACAGCGACGGGTTCACTGGGTCCCGGTCTTTGCTCTCGGGCGGCTTCCAACCCGGGGTGGGAGATAGGCTCATAAATAACTGTCACCAGCTCTCAGAGTGAGCCGTGTCCCGGGAGTGGTACGGGCCATGACAGAGCTGGCCAGAGCTGGCCTGGAGGGGAGGGCTTTCCGGGGGCCTCTGTGACGGGACCGTGGACGAGGGAGGATGCCAGCACGTGTCAGTGGGGCAGGTGGTATGGAGTTGTGGCAAGAGCCGGGTATGCCGTGGGGCAGTGGAGAGGTCCTGGTGGCCCTGGGGACCCACGCAGAGCCAGGTGACAGGTGGTTCCCGGACTCTGGCTCTTGGGCCCATGGTAGCTCCTGGCATGTGGGCAGAATGGGGCCCAGTCCTGGCAGGTGGCACAGCCGGAGTAGACTAGGTGCCGTCCTTGAGGACACGGGCCCCGCCACTCAGTGAGGCCATGGTGGATCCGGAGCTGCTGAGCGGCAAGGGCAAGTGCGTGTCCCCTGGGGCTGCCGCAGCCGATGACCGCAGATGGGCGGTTTGAAACCCACAGGCATGTTTGCCGTCCCGGCTCAGGAGGCCAGAAGCCGAGGAGCGGGGTGTGGGCAGGCCCGGTTCCTTCTGAGGCCGTGAGGGGGAGCCCGCTTCCCGTGTCTCCCGGCTCCTGGGGGTCGTCGGCCATCCTCGCCGTCCCTCGCCCCATCCCTGCCTCCGTGGTCACGTGGCCTGTCTTCGCGTGTCTGTGGCCAGACATCCGCTTTCCTGTAAAAACACTGGTGATTGGATAGGGCCACCCCACTCTGATGTGATGTCATTTTAACTGATGACATCTGCAGGGACTTTGCTCCCAAGTCAGTCCCGTCCCCAGATTTTGGGGGACACCATTTCAGCCCAGAGCCCCAAGGCCCGGGCTGGGGCAGGTCCCGTCTGCCAGCTGTGAGCACCCCACTGCCCGCAGTGCCCCGTCTGGGTGCCCTCTGCTCCCCCAGCACAAGCTCACGCTGGGGAGGAGTTGACGCTCCTGGGGCGGGGTCCCAAAGAGGTGGTCAGCCGTGGCCCTTGCCACTGTCCTGTGGCTTCGAAGCGCCTGCTCTGGGGAGCACCCGAGGAGCCTTTTGGGTGTGCTTCCAGGTGCCCTTTGGCCCAAAACCCGCCCCGCCACAGGGACCCCCCCAGAGCTCAGCCGGGGGGGCCGCCTGCCCTCACCCCTCCCTGCCCTCCGCACCCTCTCTCACCCGCCGGGCCCCTGTCAGAAGCCCTGTGTGGTTCCCCGGAGTCTCGGAAGCTGTAGGCATCCACCCGGCACGGGTCTGATGCACGTTTTCCTTTCCTGGTGAGGGGTCAAGGTTTGAGTTTTCTTTCTTGTTTAATTGGATCCTTGATGGGGCTGTAACCTCTGAATTCAGAGCTGAGCCTGCGGAGCACGGGCTGGGGCTTGGGACGAGTGCTGACCCCCCAGCCCCCGTCACAGGGTGTCCTCCTGGCCTCACCCTGACCGCGGCATGGCCTGTGCCTGCTGGGTCCTCTGCCTGGGACGCCCGGCCTCCTCCCTCCCCTCCCCGAGCTTGGACCGGCCGGCATCTCCCTGGTGCCCCCTCCCCGCTCTGCGCTCTGCTCTGTCGTGGGCCCCCACCCTCTGCCGCTGCTGGTCCTCTGCCGGCCCACCCCTTCCTTAGCTGGGCACCCATGGGGGCAGCCTGGGGACCCTGGCCCTGAGCTTGTGGCCTGGCCCCTGACCGGAGCGGGGACAGCATTGAGTAATGGCCCGGTGGCCCCAGTGTGTGAGGAGATGAGCCTGGTCCCGAACAGGGGACCTTACTGGGGAGCCTCCTGCTCCGGAAAGGCTGCGGCCCGGGGGCCTGTCCACCCCAGTGGCATTCCCCAGACTGGCCACAGCTGTTGCTGCAGGCCTAGTGGCCTCGCATGGGGCCCTTGGCCCGTTGCCACCCTCCTGTCCTTCAGTGTCACCCTGGCACGTCCACCACCCACCTGTGCTTGCTGGAGTCTCCTCGGTGCAAGCTCCGCTGGGCGGCCCCACTCTGTCGGCCGTGCCCGGGATAGCCCCGACGTCAGCCTCTCCCCGTGGCCTCCGCCCCCCCAGGCAGGGCCCAGCCGCGGGGACCCCTGCCTGAGGGCCACTCTGCTTGCCAGCTGTTGTTTTTCCTCATCAGAGAAAACTGAGGGAATTCACCGGTAGCCAGCGACAAACCCTTGTCGTGAGTCCAGTGTGACGGGGTGTCTCTGCTGCTCCCTTCCCCCGGCTGCTCCCTTCTGCCCGGGAGCCCATTGTTCGGACTGTTAGGTTGCATGGGCTTCTCGTGCTGGATGGGAAACTGCCCCCTGCCGTTGCTCCCGGCAACAGGGGAAGCGTGTCGCTCCGTGAGCCACCCCCTTGCGATGCCGAGGCGGGTCCGTCGCATGGCTGTCCTCGGGTTATCTCGTTCTCCCGTGTCCCACAGGCAGTGCTCTGGCGGGCATGCGTGCACGTTGCCCAAGTGAGGGGGTGGGTCTCCAGATGTGGGACCTCAGGTCCAGGGGTCAGCCTGTCCCGCCCCCCCCCCCGCCTCCCCGGGAGCACCTGGGTTCCCGGGCTCCCTAGTCCTGTGACTCCTCCATCAGGTGCAGGTATTCAGACGCAGCGTGTTCTCCTGGCTCTAGCGGATGTGGGGGGCAGGGGTCCTCCCGGGGGCCCTCTGGGCTCTAGCAGACGCCGGCCGTGCTGGTGGAAGGGGCTTGACAGCGGACCGCGGTGCTGAGCCCCCATGGGGCTCCTGTCTCCTGCAGGATGGTAGACGTGGGAGGCCAGAGGTCAGAGCGGAGAAAGTGGATCCACTGCTTTGAGAACGTGACGTCCATCATGTTCCTTGTGGCCCTGAGTGAATATGACCAAGTGCTGGTGGAGTCGGACAATGAGGTGAGGCACCCCTCTCCACGCTCTCCCTGCCCTGTGGCCCGGGGGTGAGAGGGGGGTGGCGTCCATCCTCACGTTTTCCTTCCCACAGAACCGCATGGAGGAGAGCAAAGCCCTCTTCCGGACCATCATCACCTACCCCTGGTTCCAGAACTCCTCGGTCATTCTCTTCCTCAACAAGAAGGACTTGCTGGAGGATAAGATCCTGCACTCCCACCTGGTGGACTACTTCCCCGAGTTTGACGGTGAGCCGGGGGCTGCCGTGGAGTGGGGGAGCACCCAGAGCAGGCACTGGGCCCCCTGCCCCACTGGGCCCCGTGAGCCTGGTGGGCAGGGCCAGGCTCCTCCAGCACGGCCCGTTCACTCTCTGGGCCTCGCTGTCTCTGTGATTTGGGGGTACGGGCCCTGACGGAGGCCGGTGGCACGGTCCGTGCGAGCCGGGAGCTCCCGTGGCCCCCCCCGACCCCCGCAGCCTCAGTGAGCGGAAGGGTCTTGTGTCCCCAGGGGGGCGTCCTCTTGGGGAGGGGATCTCCCACGGTCTGAGCACAGCCGCAGGAATGCACGGGGACACTCTGCTCCCAGGCCCCCGCTTGTCCAGAGCCTGAGTGGGGAGGAGCGAGGCCCTGGGAATGAGGGGGTGGCCCAGGACCCTCTTCCCCTCCCCGGGTTAGCCTGAGCTCTAACAGAAGGCCAAACTCGAGCACAGACTGTTCCCAGCTCCCTTTTCGGCACCGCTGCTGTGTGAGCATCAGCCGCAGCTGCCTCCCAGGACACAGGACTCTAGGGCACTCTGGGCCTGGCCACCCTCCCCAGCAGCTCGGTCCCGGCTGGCCCAGAGCCTCGGGGACGTGGTTGTGGCCCGATTGCCACGTGCGCACAGCAGGGACGGTGGCCGGGCAAGTGTGCACGTGTGTACGGGAGCGCGCAGGGCCGTGTGGACATGCGTGTGCGCCCCTGCCCGTGTTTGGATGTCGGTGTTGGGGAAGTGGTGGGAGCACAGTGGGGTGAAATGGGGCTGGGCAGGAAGCTCGGCACAGTTGGGAGGTGGAGGGGGTGTCGGACGTGGGCAGCAGCTGGCTGAGAGGCCGAGGGGCCGCACAGGGGGGCCAGGGCCCCGGGTGGAGGCGGGGGGCGGCCGGAGGAGCTGCCCCTGCTTGGCCAGTGCCCGGTCCGCGCCCAGCAGGTGTCTGTCTGTGCACGGCTGGTCTGCGCACGATCAGTGTCTGTCCGCGAACTGCAGGTGCCCTCATAAGGCCGGTCCGCGCTCAGCGGTGACTGTCCGCGCCTGGCGGGTGTCTGGGCACACCGTGGGTGTCTGTGCACCTAGGGCAGGTGTCTGTCCTTGCCTGGCAGGTGTCAGTCTGAGCGTGGCGGGTGTCTGGGCACACCGTGGGTGTCTGTCCGCATCCAGCGGGTGTCAGTCCCAGCCTGGCGGGTGTCTGGTTGCACCGTGGGTGTCTGTCCACGTCCGGCAGATGTCAGTCCGAGCCTGGCGGGTGTCTGGTTGCACCGTGGGTGTCTGTCCATGTCCGGCAGATGTCAGTCCGAGCCTGGCAGGTGTCTGGGCGCACCGTGGGTGTCTTGTCACCGTGGGTGTCTGTCCGCGCCCGGTGGGTGTCTGGGTGCACCATGGGTGTCTGTCCGTGCCCGGCGGGTGTCTGGGTGCACCGTGGGTGTCTGTCTGCACCCGGCGGGTGTCAGTCCGAGCCCAGCGGGTGTCTGGGCGCACCGTGGGTGTCTGTCCGCACCCGGCGGGTGCAGGCTGGCCTCGCTCACCTGCCTCTATGTCCGCCTCCCCAGGGCCACAGCGAGATGCACAGGCCGCCCGGGAGTTCATCCTGAAGATGTTTGTGGACCTGAACCCCGACAGCGACAAGATCATCTACTCCCACTTCACGTGCGCCACCGACACGGAGAACATCCGCTTTGTGTTCGCGGCCGTCAAGGACACCATCCTGCAGCTCAACCTGAAGGAGTACAACCTGGTCTGACCCGGCCGCCGCCGCCGCCCCCAGGGGACAGGGACAGCCGTCGGGCGGGCCTTCCTCCGGGCGCCGAGCCCGCCCGGCTCTGCCCACAGACGAGTTGATTTTGTTTTCCTATTTTTAACAAAGGGTTTTTATTTCACAGCTATCAGGGGACGTACGTGTTTCTTTCTATACACCCCCGTGCACTTTCTCATCTGTGTCAGCGGCGCGGCAGCCTTTTCCTGGCCTTGACTCGTGGCTCGCTTTTTTCTATTAAAAAAAAAAAAAAAAAAAAAAAAGAAAAAAAGGAAAAGAAGGAGACAAGACCAGCGGAGACAAGACACGCGAGCGCGCGCGCCCCCACTGCAGGCCGGCGGCCCCCTGGCGCCCAGCGGGGACAGAGCCACCCGCCGGCCCGCCCCCCTTGCTCCTGGCCCTCACCACCCAGGGGCCCCCCCCCCCCCCAGACTGTGACTTCTCTTTCTCTCACTCCCTAAGTTATTGACGTCCTGGACTCCAAGAAGTGGGGGTGGGTGGCGCCCCCCGCTGCCCGCCCTGGGAAGTGCCTAACTTTTTTTTTTTTTTTTTTCCGGGTGAGGAAAGGAAGGCAGTGAGCCGGCTCCCGGGGCCCACAGGCTGCTGTCCAGACACCCCCTAGGGGCCAAGGGCGCCCCGCTGTGCCCAGCGAGCCGGGAGAGGGCCCTTCTGGATTGGGAGTCACTTTTGATTAGTTCTGTTTTGAAACCAGCTTGGAAACAGTGAGGGTGGAGTGGGGACTTCTTCAGAATATTCTCAGGTCTGTCCCCGAGAGGCAGAGAAGGGAGTCGCCCACGGCGGTTCCCGGGCGCGGCCTCCGGCGCAAGCCCTTTCTCCCACATCTCCCTCTTCTGCTCCCGAGTCCCCTGCCCCGGGAGGCGAGCACGCAGCACGACGCGCACTTTGCCCCGAGCCATGGAGGGCCAGTGGCTGCTGGCACCGCGGCCCCGGGTGGCTTCCAGGCCTGGCCACGGCCATGGCCACGCACTGAGCCAGAGCCATGGGCCGCCTTGCCCGGGCCACCTTCTTCCAAGGGGCTCGGAGGGTGGGAACAAGCGGGGGGGGGTGTTTTCATCTGATGTGGACTGAGCACTACAGTGTTTTTCTGTGGGTTGTTTTGATTTGCACAATGTAGCGGGAATGAACTGCCAGGCCTTGGACCCACCCGCTGCATCTGGACACGGTCCGGTCGCGGTCTGTGTGGCCGCTGCTGGCCTGGGCCGCCGACAAAGAGTAGAAACGACTGCGACAGCAGCCCCGACGCCGGCGTCCACTGTGCCTGGCCCCGCTCCCCCCGCTCACCTGACGCAGGGGCCGGCCTGCTGGTGTCGGAGGAGGGAGCTAGGAGGGGCCTTGGGGCGACTGGGGGGGGCCCCTTCAGGGTGGGGCGGTGACGTTCCTAGTGACCAGCCCTCTCTGGGGGCGGGATGGGCCCCCGCGGTGCCACGTGTCTGCATGGGAGGGGGCGTGCAGTAGCCTCCAGCGTGCACCCTCAGTGCCAGAGCAGAGGGTGCTGCGGGCGGGGGGCCTGCCCGGGGGACTCGGGGTCCTCGTGGGGTGCGCATCGCCATGTCTCAGCACCTCTCTTGGGCCCAGATCACAAGGGAACTGGATTGGGCCTTGGTGGGGGGGGGGGTGGCGTGAGCATGTGAGCCTGGGCACCCGAAGTATTAATTCTTCCCAGAGGGAGCAGTGTGCCAAGCACCCCAGAGCCAAAGCCTGGCTGGAGCACCATGCCACCCCCGCCCAGCGCTTCTGGAACCCTGAGGGCCCAGGACCGGAGGGCGGGGACAGCGCTGTGTGCCCTGGAGGGTTGGAGACCGCTCTGTGCCAGTGGGGCCTGGGTGGTCCGGGCCCCTCCCTCGCCCGTGGTGTGAGGTTTGTTTTTCTCGTTTTCCACCCTGGGGGGCTCCATCCTCCTCGCACTGTCAGGTCCCTCCCCCCCCCCCAGAGACGTCCCAGTGCCAGCGCCCCCGAGCGGCAGTGCGGGAGGTGCGCCGGCCGCCAGTGGACCTCCTCTGGTTATACTTGTATATTACACAGTCCTGATTTCAGACGGTTTCAACCTTAACCTATTTTAAAGAAGAATATTATATAAAATACTGTTTTTAAACTTTTTGTCATTTGAAATGCATGTATTGTTGTGCGTGCTGGGGGACAGGCCCATTAGCTCTGTGCCAACCTCCCAGGGCCAAGACTGCCATGTTGGGGCAGGGGTGGGGGGCGGCGGGCTTCGCTCAATGTGTCGGGGCCCTGACCCCTTAATCCAGAGATAGCTGATGGAAATTGACTTTTCATATCTTTCTCCTGAAATGAATTCTGTTTTAAATTGGAATAAATTTTGTTCCTAAATGCTGTGGCCCTCTCTGGCTTATTTCCGATTGCTGGCCATAGTGGGTGGGTGGTGGGCAATGCAGGGGTGTCCGAGCTCTGGAGGGTCTTGCCTGGTCCTCGTGTGGCTGGCTGGTGTGTGAGCTCACGGGAGCGGGGGCCACGGCTGCCCCGGGATGTGCCTCTGGCCTTGGCACCAGGGCCCCTGCTCTGAGGTTCCCCGACTTGGCCCTGACTTCAAGTTCATTTGTCTGTACTGCCGGGCTAGACCATCTGGCAAGAGAAGTGCCTCCTGACGGGGTCGGGGACTGAGGAGCCCAGGTTCTGGACATTCTGTATTTATTTCTGTAAACTGAGGAGGTTGGGCTTGTCTCTGCAGTCTTCTCTGGGGCTTTTTTCCTTCTTAAAAAGTGGTAAGTACACATAACATAAAATTTACCATCTTCTAAGCGCACAGCTCAGCGTCATGAAGCACACTCACCCTGTCCTGCGACCACCCCCACCTGCCGTCTCCAGAACGTTCCATCTCCGCACACGGAGACTCTGTCCCCATCAGCCGTCATCCCCACCCCCTGCCCCAGCCCCGGCTCCCGCCCTCTCCTCTCTGTCTGTGCGGACGGGACTCCTCTGGGGACCTCCTGGGAGCAGGGTCCTGCGGGATGTGTCCTTCTGGGTCTGGCTCCTCTCAGCACAGTGTCCTCGGGGTTCCTCCACGTCGTGGCAGGGGTCAGGGTTCCTTCCTTTCTTCTTCGGGCTGAATAATCATTTTATGGATGAACCACTTTTTGCTTTACTGTTCATCAGCGGACACTTGGGTTGTTTCTACCTCTTGGCTATTGTGAATCGTGAAGTGAACATGGGTGTGCAAATAACTGTTCGAGACCCTGCTTCCAGTTCTATTGGGTATAGACACAGAAGTGGGATTGCTGGATCATATGGTCGTTCTCGGTTTAACTTTTGGAAGAACCACCAACCCCTTTGCCAGTATCTGCCCCGTTTCACACTCACACCAGCCGTGCACAAGGGTTTCAATTTCTGCACATCCTCCTCTGGTTTTATTCCCTTGTTTGTCTGTCGGATACTCCTTGAAGGCCCATGGTGCCAGGCACTGTCCCAGGCACTGCGGTATGGCAAAGGAGGTAGCGCTTACCACCAGAACTTAATCTATGAAGAAAAATAGAGCGGGAGGGCAGGGTGAGTAACAATAGTGACAAGAGGAGAGGGCATTGCAGGTAGTGGGCACAGCCTATGCAAAGGTCCTGGGGCAGCACTGGGCTTACATGTTGGAGGAACAGCCAGGGGGCCTGTGTGGCTGGAGCAGAGTGAGTGAGGGGTAGAGAAGGAGGAGGGGAGGGCCGGCGGAGGGGACAGGAGCAGATCGTGCAGGGCCTAGGGGACCACGCGGGGAGGACTTGGGCCCCAGGGAGGTGGGAGTCCTGGAGGGCTGTGGGCTGAACAGGGCGGGACCCGACTCGGGTGCTCACGCGCGCCCTCTGGTGGCCGCTGAGGGGAGGGCGGCGGACTTGGGGGTGAGGGCGGGGCTGGGGATCAGGGTCGAGGGGACTGCGTTGGTCCTGGCGGGCGTGATGGGGGCTGACCAGGTGGAGGCAGAGGAGTGGCAGGATCCGGGAAGTGGGCGGCGGGGAGGAGCAGGCCCCGCTAGACTGCCCGCGCACCTGGACGTCATGACCCCCGCGGCCGGCAGGTGCCGCTCGCCAGCTCTCTGGCCACCCCGCCCACCTGCAGCCCTAAGCGCATTTTCTCCGGGGGAGGACCTCTCATCCCGCTCTAATAGGGAAACCAAGGCACCTAGTGGCCAGTTCCCTGCCCTGACGGTAGGCCAGCGGTTGCGGGACTTGGGCACCAGCCGCAGCCCGTCCAGCTAGGCTCAGGCAGGGGCTAAAAGACAACGCAGTAGGAGAACAGTAGGAGAATTTCAAGTCGGAAAACCTGCAGGGCCAGGTTCGCACGCCCACGAAGCCTGCCCTGCTGACCTGTCCTGGATTGCTTCCACCTTTTGGTTGCTGTGAAGGATGCTGCTATGAACACAGGTATGTAAGTACCTGAGTTCCGCTTTCCGTTCTTTTGGATATAAAACTAGCAGTGGGAATCGCTGGATGAAGACTTTCTTGTCTTATCCAAATAAATGATTCATCAGTTAAAAACTTGGGATCCCAGCATTGCCTTCCGGCCACTCCTGGGGGTGGGCATGACCTTAGGTGTGGCCAAGGACAGGGTCCAGGGAGGGACAGCCATGGACTCCCGGCATCTGAGGAGTGGGAGGTACTTGGAAATGATGTAAATATCCTATTCTTCATTAAGCAGAAAAGACATTTTTATTTTTATTTATTTTTATTTTTTTTAAAGATTTTATTTATTTATTTGAGAGAGAGAATGAAATAGAGAGAGAGAGAGCATGAGAGGGGGGAGGGTCCGAGGGAGAAGCAGACTCACTGCTGAGCAGGGAGCCCGATGCGGGACTCGGTCCTGGGACTCCAGGATCATGACCTGAGCCGAAGGCAGTCGCTTAACCAACTGAGCCACCCAGGCGCCCCAGAAAAGATATTTTTAAAAGATTTATTTATTTTAGAGAGAGAGCGTGCGTGCGTGTGTGTGCAAGTGGGTGGGGGGGGCAGAAGGAGAGGGAGAGAGAATCCCAAGCAGATTCCCTGCTGAGTACAGAGTCTCACGTGGGGCTCGATCCCAGGACCCCGAGATCATGACCTGAGCCGAAACCAAGAGCCAGATGCCCAACCGAGGCACCCAGGAGCCCCAAGCAGAAAGGAAATTTTTAATACCAGAGAAGCAGAAAGGAGCATGTCATCTATGAATAAAGGACACGGGGAGGGAAGGAATGAATGCATCCCATGAAAACTCACCAGAACTAGTGGGAGTGTAAATTGG